GCCTTGGTAGGCCAGAAATATCTCATACGTTGTAGTTGGTTATAAAATTTGGGCCTAGACTGATGCATGCCACATACTCTTGCATGCACCTCCTTCAAACATGCATGTTCCTTTATGTGTGATAGGCACCTTAATAGCATCCCATCATACTACTCCTGTAAAGTTGGTCATTGAGACGAGTAAATCTGATGGCTTACCTTTTAAGGGGTAACCTATCTTTCCAACTTTCTTAAGGCTCCCTGAGGATAAGGGAGATATTCAACCCATATATACGCTTCATTATCAGAATCGACTCCCTCCATCATAGAGATGGTCCGTCGGTCCGCCATTCCTGTACAGAAACATGAAGCGGGACACCATGTTCAACAATCATGGCTGCCCCAAGCTTGGCCAAAGCATCAGCTTGATCCATCGATCCAAGTGACATGTTATTCTAGATGACTTCATCCATCTTTCAGAGGAGATATCTCGCAGTATTATAATACGGCTTGAGCTCATCCTTGAAATTTTCGTATATCCCCTTTAACTACTCAATTATCAATTGGGATCGATGCTTAATATTCGGCTTTCTTATGTATCTCTCGTAAGGGGGAGCCCCTTATCAGGTGTAAAAAATAAGACTTCTGCTCCGGCTCCTTTCGCTTGAGAAGTACCATCAAAGAATATTTTACCACTGCGCAGATTCCTCCTTATACATGATCTCCTCATTGGGAAAATCCTCATTCTAAGGTGACCCCTCGGGCAACGGATGGGCGGCTAGGAAATCTGTCAAAGGCCTGACCTTTGACAAGCCTTTTGTGGGATATAAGTGATAAGAAACTCCATAAGGAGCAAAGCCCACTTAGTTAGGCGACCTGAGAGAATAGGCCTCATGATCAGATATTTGAGCGGGTTGGCACGAGATATCAATTGCACCTGATATGCCAGGAGATAATGTCGCGACTTTTGAACTTGAAATACCACTGCCAGACACGTTTTCTCATTGGGAGAATAATTATATTCGGCTGGCATCATGGTGCGAGTTAAGTTGTATAATGTTGCTTCTTTCCCCTCATCATTATACTAGGTGAGGAGAGCACTCAAATACCCCTCTAAAGCCATCACATATAAAATGAGTGGCTTGTCTAGTATTGAAGCGGTAAGGACTGACAGACTCAACAGGTAGTCCTAGATATCCTAAAAAACCTTTTAACAAGACTCATTCCATTCACAAGGAATATCTTTCTTCATGAGCTAGGAAAAGGGTTTGCACCGCTCTTAGAGGTTGGATATGAACCTCTTGATGTATGCTAGACAGTCATGGAGTGACATTAACTCGTGCAAATTCTTTGGTGGCAGCATCTGTTGTATAGATCATATCTTTGTGGGATCTATTTCAAATCCTCGATGACTCACAATGAAACCCAGAAACTTCCCAAAGTTACCCAAAATGCACACTTCAAAGGGTTCATCTTCGATTGATGTTTTCTCAACCTTTTGAATACAGTTTTTAAGTCTATGAAGTGAGTAGACTGGTCATTTCACTTAACCACCAAATCGTCAATGTAACATTCCACCACATCAAGGAGAATGTCCTCAAATATGATAGTCATGGCACGCTGGTAAGTCGGACAAGCACTTTCCAAACCAAATGGCATTACTTTATATCAGTATATTTTCATTGTAGTCAAGAAGGAAGTCAATTGTTCACCTTTAGGGGCCATCCTAAACTGGATATAGAAAAAGTACTCGTTCATAAATTGGAAGGCCTCACAGGCTATTGTGGAATTGATCTTGATCTCCGTGATGGGGTAAGGGAAAGTCATCCTTGGGAAAAGCAGAGTTAAGATTGCAGAAGTCGATACAAACACTTATTTGCATGTTCTGTTTTTTGACTAGCACTATACTAGCCAGCCATTTAGGATATATCACTTACCTGATGAATCCTGCGTTTACTAGCTTGTTAGCCTCAACCTCAGTTTGAGGAGCTATGTCCGAGTGCAACTTCCTTTGAGGTTGCTTCACTGGCTTAATGTATGGATTGACAACAAGCCTATGAGTGGCTACTACACTGTAATTCCATGCGAACACATCCCGATTAAGATGAAGAAAGTTGATGTATTGCTCTCTCTTCTCTGAGTTCAAGGATGAACTCAAAAAGGTGGGTCTGTGATCTCCTTCTTCACCCAACTCAATCTTGATTAGTTTATGGACAGTGACTTGTCATTCATCCTCCATCTTCCGAGTAGCAGGTTCTATCTCAACCTCGTGGTCTGAGTTTTGGCCATTGCCACTGCTAGTGTAGGCCAAAGTGCATTGGACTGTCCAATTCCCCTTGTGTATGCTCTTTGAGCCAAATGCAAGGGCTATGGTGTGTCTAAGTCCTTGAGTATCTCATCTTCTACGAGACATCTTTTCAATGGCTTGGAAGCGTGTTATCATACCCTTGCCATCATTGAAGTTGTGGTCAACGGAAAACTTACAGTCCATGTTTTGCATGATCCGATGAGCCTAAAGGCTATATAATTTCCATTGTGGCTTGGAAACCCCATATTTTAAAGGACAAGCCTTATAGTCCTCTAGATGTCCCTTCTTAAATCCCGTCTTTAAAGGAGAGGTAAGAACATCGTTGCTATCCTAATTACTTGGTTCAACCTCTTCAGGTACGATGGAAGTGAGAGGCCCCCATTTCAACATCAAAACCCTCAAAGGCCTTGAGCAAGGCATGTGGAATCCCATGATTGTTATAAGAGTCAATTTCTCTTTCCGTCATCTCCACAGACTGAGAATCTAGATTTTCAAGGTTATAGAACATGACATTCGCATAATGGGACTCCACCCTAGAAAATGGCTCTCGGTCAACATAGACCGTGCACTATTTGCCTTTATGGAACTATTTGAAGCACTAGTGGAGGGTCGAGGGAACGACACCATTATTAAGCAGCCAGGGGCATCCCAGCAGCACATTGTAGGAGCCTTTGGTTTTAACAACCTGAAATGTAGTATACGCTTCCAACTCTCTCATTTTGAGTTTCAATTTAACACTCTTTATGTCTTTCTGAGTAGTCTAGTTAGAACCCTATATTATTATATGTCCCACTTGCAGGTTCTTGACATCCATTCATATGACTTTAATTGTTTCTAGATAAAGTAGGTTGACTGCTAATCCTCCATCTATTTTTATTCGAATGATGGAGACACCATGGAGGATCGCAGTTATCACCAAGGGGCAGCTATGAGATTTTACCCCGAACTGCAAGTCGGCATCTGAGAAAGTAACTGACATAACATCGGTTAGAACTGCCAAGTCAAGCTCAACGGGATCGACCTCGGCTTGGAACTCTTATGTAGATGAAATGGCTTGGATGAGAGCTGTCTGAAATTCTTTGGAAAGCATAAGAGCGTCATAGATGCTTATAGCAGCAGGTATCCTTCACAGGTGATGCCACGTTTCTTCCAAAGCAGGTATTCTTCACAAGATGATGTTACTCGTGCGAAAACCCTACCACGGTTCTTCCAAAGCAGGTATTCTTCACAAGATGATGTTACTCGTGCGAAAACGCTTTCCCAAAACAAAGAGTCCTTTCTTCACAGGTGAGATTCCTCGTATATTTCCATAAAGTGTACATGTTGTCTCAATTTTTTTTTCACGGGCTGAAAAACTATCCCATAAGCGATATTCTACACCCACTCATTGATCAGGCAAACGAAGGTGTTTTTGTGGAAACATCATGTACGTGGTCAATCCTAAATCAGGCCCAGTGTTAGTTTTACTCGATTGTGGATGTGAACATTTTTTTTCTTCTCCTATTTTGCACTTCTTCCTCGATACACATTTCATTCATCTCAACGGTAATGCATTGAGAGTTATAGGAGAAAATTTTATTTCATTGTCAAAAATAAAAAATGATTTGTATATTTTATATTTTTACACTCTAGTCCCATTTTTTTTATACTCCATAGTGTATTTTAATTTCATTTTCTTTTTTATATGTTAAATCATGCTCAATTTGGGGAGTTGATAGTATAACATCTCAAATTTGTAAAAGGTATGAAAAATATTTTAAAAAAATAAAATCACTAAAATTCCTACACAATCTTAAAATCAAGGTTCTTTTAACGAGAAGTTTTGATACCTAAATTTGAGCTTAATCGGAAATATAGAAACTAAAATAAAATTAAAATACAATATTTAAAATAACTGGTATTTTAGCAAGAAGTTTTGATGCCTAAAATTTGAGCTCAATAAGAAATATAGAAACAAAAATAAAATTATAATACAATATTCACTATAAAACGACCTAAAATGTGAAATACAAACTAACTACTTTTAAATTTTGAAAATAAAAAATATTTCTCTTTAAATTCCCTTAATAAATTTAAGTTAAGGTTATATTGTACTCAACAAATTTTAGACAGTTATATGCCCTTATTTTATAATATAATTTGTTTAAGTAATAGTATTTTTAGCCATTAGGAGAAGTATGACATCACTCATGTTGAGCATTAAATGTTGTTAGTGTGTTCCACATGCCCGATATAACACTCTATGTTATTCTTAAGTGCAATTATAAAAAGAGAAAATATAAAAGAAGACCATTTATATTTGATATCAGCTGACATTAATCATGACCATTCAATGTGAAATTGGATGGATGTAACTATTCCATTGAAGAAGCTCAAAGTTCAAAGTAAATTTTTTCGAATTTTGTGATACATCCAAGCTATCAAATTTCACATAGTTGTAAGAAATAGTTGCCACCTTGTAAAGGTAAATGATTTCATTACATACAATTCCATTGCTTTGTAGTTTAAGAGCGCTAAAATAACCCTTTAAGGAACGGGTTACTCAAGAAATATTTGAAAAAAACAATATTTTTTGAAACTTGGAGGTTAAGGATTAAGAGAATCCTCTTTTTATATGCCGGACCAATTGGAAAGTCTAAATTACATGTTGAAATAGGCAACTAAAAAGTTTGAGGAACGTCGACAACAAACTGAATGATAATCTTTTACTCCATATATATGAAACAACTTCGAATTGAATTAAAACCTGATCACAACACCATTGATATGAAAAACCGTCAATGGGATCAGAATAAATAGTAGTTTAAAAGTGAACATCAGAGACCGCAAAAAAGAAAAGAAAAACCAAAGAGTTATCCACACAACTACTCTAAAAGAAAGAGAAAGAGAAAAACCAAAGAGTTATCCACAAACTACTCTAACAGAAAGAGAGATTGGAGAAGAGAGTATTTGGCTACAGCTTGGTGTCTGGAATGGGTGCAGATTCCTTCACTTGAGCTGACCTATCTTCCTGGAATGGGTGCCGACTCCTTCACTTGACCTGACCTATCTTCCTGTAACCCAATCAAGAAACCAGGAATGCCGGAAAACAAGTTTTAAAAGCAAGATTCATTGAAGGAGGTTTGGTCATAAGAAACAAGGAAGAGAGAGAGACCTTCATATCTGAGGTCCACTTCGAGAGGTTGCCTTCAAGAAGTTTCATCATATTTCTGCTTTTCTTGCACTGTCCCTTCCCCAAAGTATCCAATGCCGTCGCTGCATCATCAAACGCCTGCTTTACAAAGCATAGACACAGCCTCTTGCAATCAATCCGACAGAGAAGAGAGAGAGAGAGAGGGAGGGAGAGAGAGATCACCTGTTTGGCCAATTTGCAGGCGCGGTGAGGGCAGTCGGGGATCTCGTACAAGAAAACAGAGAAGCTGATGGCTAGGGCGAGGCGAGTGGGGTGAGCAGGGCTGAGATCCGCTTCCACAATTTCCTGAGAAAGAGACGACCCCGTCATGAGAAAATATCGATCTAACTTACTGATTTTCGTTCTTGACTTGAAACGCAAGAAACTAAACAGAAACACGACGTAGAGGAGGAGAAGTTTGTTACAGTGGCTTCTTTGTAGGCACTGTTGGTGGCCTCGGTCACCTCCAGCCATTGCTCGCCAGTCTTGATCTCAGCGATGTAGCGATTATAGTCGCCCTTCATCTGGAGATAGAAGGCCTTGGCCTCGCGTGAGGTGGCCGAGGAGATGAGGCGTGAATCGATGAGCGGCAGAATGGATTCACAGATGGCCTCAATCTCGGACTCAATGCGGGTGCGATATGCTGAAATCGTGGGCAAGTGATCAATGGCAGCCACTCCATCGAAGTGCTCCATAGAGGAGACGATGCACCATGAGATACGACGAGCCTCGAAGATGTTATTGTAGGCAAGAGAGAGAAGGCCCCGCTCCTCAGTGCTCAGCTCAGGCTGTTGTGGATCGGCGGCGATGGCCAGCACCTTGTTGATGTAGGTGAGCATGTCGTCGTAGCGCTCAGCCTCTTCTGCTAATTTCGCCATGTACACGTTCTCCTCCCTGCTTCCTTCTGGGTCTATCATGTTTGCGTGGCCTAGAGAGAGAATCAAAGATTTAGAGAGAGAAAGAGAGAGAGAAGAGAAGTTCCACAGCACCTGCGGGTTGTATAGGAAAACGAAAGTTTTGATTTTGTAAGCATCGACAATATCAGGAAATACCGTCCTCTCGCTAAAAACGGACTTCCACACACGGCTAAATTACTGAATTTATCCAGTTTTCCAATAGTCTTAATTTTTGCCATATTAGTCAATTTATTTTATTCTATTTTTAAAGAGTAATGATTCTATAGGACCCTCCCCCACCCATATAATTAGGACCTCAAAGGATCACCATTAAAGTTTGCACAGATCTCTAGAAAAGTTATCACATGGGTGAGGACTTGATTTTTCTATAGATCCATGCCAAATTTAATGGTGATCCTTTAGGTTCCTACACACATGGGTGGAGGAAGGTCCTATAGGATCATTTCTTAGTTTTAAAACAGATTTTCACACATGGGTGAACGACATAATTTATCATGTTTTTCAAATATTCTTCAATTTTGCCCATTGGTCAATTTATTTATTTTATTTTTATCTTTTAGAGCTGGTCCGATGTTTAAAATTACCAATCAACCCCCACAAATAACAAAAAATTCCGAAACCCTGTGTAGTTTTAGTTCACTATTGTGTATGAGGCGGTCCGATATTACAAACATCTGTTAGCTTTACATTTTATATTTTTTATATGTTTTTTGCCATCTAATTTTTTCTGACCACTTTTGTACTTTCTTGTATATGTCGGGGTGTAAAATCCACCAAATGGGCCCCACTTCCCTCTCACTCTCACTCGTTCTCTCGTATTCATTTTCTCTCTTTGTAGTCCAGCATTCTTTTATGGAAAATTGTTTGGTGCGTCCAAGCCCGCACAACTTATTATGCGGGCTTAGAGACCATTTTGAGCATTGATTCAAAAGAGAAAAGCCAAGTGCTTTTACTGAAATATAATTTCAACTAAAGGAACACATTCTTTATGGCTAGTCTAATTTGAGAAGACTCAAATAGTGTACAATCAATGACCTTTGATGCAACATCCCAGAATCTATTAAAGAAGTCCGTAAATGACTCACTTAGATTTTGTTAGGCAGCGACAAATTTGCCAGGGTCATTAGTTGCTGCTTAGTCTTGTTGTACTGCGTGATGCAATATCAGAACAATTCGTCAAGAGTTTGATCTGGGTTTTAGTCACGACGTCTCATGTCACGACCCCACCCATTGGCCCCTGTTTGAGGGTGACATAGTGCGGGATCGCAATCGGAGCTCGCGAACGTCACTCCAATATGCTCCCCATCATTCCAACAATAATAAGATAAAAGCATTTTAATAATATATTTACATAACTCACAATCATCTTATTTAAAGTAGAACAGTAAGGACAACTAATCACAGTCACAAAACTAGTAAGGCCCTACTCCCAAAGTAGAAGATCTATTACTCAGGTAAAGCCAATCCTACTGCTTAAAAACCTCTACCCTCATTCAGGATAGAGGACAATGACAAGTGGGTGCTTTACTTCGTAATGCCCTCACACACACACACACATATATCCCGAGCGCTCTGGGGTTTTTAACAGGCAGTGGCCTTGCAAGACACGACCCTCTCCTTATACCCTTCTATCGAGAGAGAGTTACATTGCCATTGGGTGACCCAAGGAGTAGTGCCCATATAAATCTGGGGGGCACGACCCTCCCAATTATTCACATCCTGACTCCTGTCCTATCATGGGGAGACAGGGGAAGATCGCAGCTACCGATACCATTATTCTTACAGTAGTTGCCCTTCCCATCAGACAGCTGACAGCACCATCATTCACACATCACATAGGCAGCACGGTACCATCATTCACACAATAGGTATCCCTTTCTCATATCACATAAGCAGCATGATACCATCATTCAAACAATAAGTATCTATTCACATATTGCATGAGCAATATGATACCATCATTCACACAGTAGGTATCTATTCATATATCGCATGAGCAGCACGATACCATCATTCACACAGTAGGTATCTATTCACATATCGCATGAGTAGCATAATATTACAAGATGACGATATAAATATTTCATCATGATAACAGCAATATCACCTTAGATAGTGGCATATTACATTTAAGAAGTCTCATAATGACATTATCATAGTAATAACGACATTATTCCAGTTAAGCCTTATAGCTCGATTTCCTGCCATCAAGGGCAATGATATGTACTCACTATTCGGGTCGTAACGTTTAGACCGTTAAGATTTTGAGGATAATTCGGAAATCGATTTTATACTAAACCCACCTATCCTTCAAATGGGATTGGTTTGAAGTCAATTGGACTGCGTTTGGCCTCTTAAAGATTAAAAGATGTGAGGGTTTACTAGCTACACCCTGCCGTACACAAGGGGTAGCAACATACGCTACTTCATATTACAATAACTCCGAAACCGTGAAGGAAATTGTGACGGTTTAAAAATCAAAGTTTGAGCCAAGTCGTACATATTTCTAACAAAGCTAATTTGAAAACAATTGGATTTCATTTGGTGGTTCAAAGATTCGTTCCAAACGAGGTGAGAGTTTTGAAGTTTTATCAACACTGTCAATAGTGACATTCCTTCATAAAACAAAGTTTAATTTTCAATCTAAGAAGAATTTAAAAATAGTTTCTCCTTGAAAAGTTTATTCGATTCAATGATCTTTCAAATGGCTATGGTTTGGCACAAAATGAACCTTTTTTGGTTAGTTAAAATCAAAGACCATAGTGGTATTAGTGAAAAATCCAAGAAAATAGTCAATTGTGATATACCTTTTCATTTTGAAGCATAACTTCATTCTTGTAAAGAATTTCAATGATGGGAAAAACAAACATTTTACCAGACTCATACATCTTTCCAATGGTAGTGATTTGAGGTCAATCGGACCCCATTTGACTATTCAAAAGTCTCCTTCAAGCACACACATAATTCTAGAATTTCACAGTGGCATATAACATGTCTCAAGAGTACATTCGATAACCTTCATTTCATGGTGAGGAACATGATAACAACCATTCTCTCATGATGTACACATACAACATGCCTTTCTTACATAATCTAATAATCATACACTCATTCACAACATCCACCATTATCATAGAACAAAACCCCCAAATTTTCAGTGAAAAATGCGTAAAGATTTTCTACATCACATATACTTCCATTGCTTATTACATATGCCTATATCCCCATGCATCCTTATGATTGCAACACAATGGTGATGGATCCACTTACTTAAACAACAATGGTGTCCTCTCCACTTCTCTTCTCCCAGCTCTCATCCACCCAACAATGGCTACGCACCAACAGTCACTTCTTCTAACCTTGCCTTAGAGAGAGAGATATGAGAGAAAAAAATGAGTGGCATGGGTTAGAGAAGAGGGTTAAGTACTCTTGAAGGTGTGGTGATTGTTCAAGTGGCTCCAAAAGGCATAAAAATCTGGACAAGTGGCTACAAGTCAGCATGCACTCTCCAAGTGGCACTCACAACTCAGACATTCTAGAAACACGGGTGGCAATGACCAGCCGGTGATTGCCCACTCTTCGTGCGGCGTTACCACTTACCACTTGCACGTGCCGTTCACCCTTCACTTCGCTGTGTGCTCTCTCTCTTCGCCTCGTGCTTCTTCCTTTCACCACGTCGTGCGTCCTTCACTCCGTCGTGCATGCTTCCTCTACAACCCTTTCCTCTCCTGCGCCTACCTGTCGAGAACATCATCACCGCACACCTCCCATTGCACGTCTCTCCCGTGCCTACCTGTCGTGAACATTATCGTCGTGTGACTCATACTACCGCGCACTCCATCGCCGCATGACTCTTCTTTCCCTATATGATCACGTGGCACACACTCTACTTATCCCATCGTGCACTCAACCGGCCGAGATAGTCCAGGTCCTTACATCATCCCCCCCTTAAAAAAGATTTTGTCCTCAAAATCGTCAGTTACTCAAATAAATGGAGGTGTACTTTTCCTGGATTTCATCATTTCGCTCTCATGTTGACTCTTCTTTCAAATGGTACTGCCATAAAACCTAGACTAGGGGAATCTCTCTGTTGCGCCAAAATTGGACTCTTCTATTCAGAATCTCAATTGGTTGTTCCACATAAGTGAAATCTTCCCAAATCGGGATCGGCTCATACTTGAGAATGTGGGACAGGTCGGGCTGATATTTCCTTAACAATGACAGGTGAAATATATCATGAATGTTGGCTAGCTCAGGCGGCAGGTCCAATCGATATGCCACGACTCCGACTATCTCTAAAATCTCAAAGGGTTCAATAAATTGTGGAGTTAGTATCCCCTTTTTGTCAAACCTCATTATGCCCTTAGCTAGCAATACCCTCAGGAAGACTCGGTCACCCACTTCGAATTCAAGATCCCTTCTTCGATTGTTGGCATAAATCTTCTACTGACTTTGAGCCGTTTGAAGTTTTTCTAGAATTAGAGCAATCTTCTCTGAGGTCTTCTGAATAATCTCTGGCCATAATAGCCTCCTTTCATCGACCTCGTCCCAACATATAAGAGATCTGCACTTCCTCCCATACAATGCCTCAAAAGGTGCCATCTGAATACTGTCCTGGAAACTATTGTTATAAGAAAATTCTATTAGAGGCACATGATTATCCCAGCTTCCCTTGAAATCTGTAATACAGGCCCTCAACATTTCTTCTAGGGTCAGAATAGTCCTTTCCGATTGTCCATCAGTATAAGGGTGGAAAGCAGTACTAAAAGTGAGTTTGGTCCCCAGAGTCGACTGTAGGCTGTTCTAAAACCTTGAAGAAAATCTGGAGTCTCTGATGGACACGATACTAACAGGCACCCCATGCAGCCTTACTATCTCCTTGATGTATAATTTGGCCAACTTATCCATTGTATAAGTAGTACGGACCGACAAGAAATGTATGGCTTTAGTGAGTCGGTCCACAATAACCCAAATATTATCATGTCCCAAACTTGATCTTGACAAGCCAAACATAAAATCGATTGTTAGGTGCTCCCACTTCCATTTTGGCACAAATAAGGGCTGTAATTGTCCAGCAG